ATCTAATACCTAAGCCGAAACCGCAGTTCATGGGAAACAGGAACAATGAGTTTCTAGAGCTAGCCATGCCTGTCACAGTCACAGAGCCTTCAGCTTAGGTCAGCAGAGTTTCTTTTGGCTAAGTGTGCCAATTAGAAAAAGGGAGGAGGGAATGGGGTCAACAGCTCCTGAATGCATCCTAGTGGTTGGTCTCAGGGTCCACAGTCCTCCCTGATCCCTAACGCTCAGTGGGCCTCCGTGGCCGGCTCCCAACACTGCTGGGCTCCAGTGATCCTTCTGTGTCAGCCTTCCAAGTAGCTGGAAATACAGCCTGTGGGTTACAAAGGCCACAGGGAAAGACACGCCACGACATCTAGTGGGACACACCAGGAGAGACTCCGATCAGGCGTGCTACCATGCCCGGCTCATTTTTTATTTATTGTAGAGATGAGGTCTCGCCAAGTTGCCCAGGCGGGTCTCGAACCCGCGGGCTCAGGCAATCCACTCACCTCAGCCTCCCAAGGCGCGGGATTATAGGCTGAGTTTTTTTTTTGAGTTGGAGTCTTACTCTGTCACCCAGACTGGAGTGCATTGGCACACTCCCGGCCACCACAGCCTCGACCTGCTGGGCTCCGGCGATCCTTCTGCTTCAGCCTTCCAAGTAGCTGGAACTACAGGTGTGCACTACCACACCCGGCTCATTTTTTGATTTTATTGTAGAGATGAGGTCTCGCCAAGTTGCCCAGACGGGTCTCAAACCCACGGGCTCAGGCATTCCACTCACCTCAGCCTCCCAAAGCGCGGGATTACAGGTTGAGCCACCGAGCTCGACTTTTTTTCTATTTTTTAATTAATTTACTTACTTTTTTTTGTTTGTTTAGTAGAAGTCTCTGTTGCCCAGGCTGGAGTGCAGTGGTATCCTCATGGCCACTGCAGCCTCTACCTGCTGGGCTCAAGTGATCCTTCCACCTTGGCCTTCCCAAGTAGCTGGAATCACAGTTGTGCACTACTATGCCTGGCTAATTTTCATTTATTTTAGAGACGAGGTCTCGCCAGGTTGCCCAGGCTGGTCTCGAATCCCTGAACTCAGGCAATCTTCTCACCTCCACCTCCCAAAGTGACTCATAGCCAGGCACAGTGACTCATACCTACGAGTCACTGTGCCTGGCTATTTTTCCATTTTATATTTCACTTTTTCCTTTTTATTGTTACTGTTTTATTCTTCTTTTTCATTTTGTTTCACACCCAGGAAAGACCTAAGGATGGTCAAGTTCATTCTATTCTGTTGTCAAATAAATTTTCCTAAGATGGCAACAGTTAGTCCTTTTGTTCTGTTTTAGAGCTTTCCGTGACTGCTCGCTGAGTGCAGAATAGTGGCGCAGCACGTTCCCAGCCTTTTCTTTTGGACTCAGTGGCTCTCCCCCTTCCCATCCTATGGCCCAGCAGCCTCTCTGCCACTCCCTTGTCCAGACACAATCATCTTCCCTGCTGAAGAGTTTCCCTCTCTCCCTGCTTTCCTTCTACCTGATCAGAGTCTCTCCTGGTGTGTCCTACTAGATGTCGTGGCATGTCTTTCCCTGTGGCCTTTGTAACCCACAGGCTGTACTTGGGACTACTTGTTTGGCCACCTTCCCCACCAGTGTGTAGGCGCTTAGGAACTCTGATTCCCTCCTGCATCCGCACCAGCACACAGCCCAGCTCGCAGCAGGTCGTCGAGGAGATGCTGGCTAAAAGTGGCAAGAAGGAAGCGACCCACCTCTGTTGTTGCTTTGATTCTAGAGACTCAGCCTTTCTTGTTGGAACTAATCTCATCATTTGACTTCCATGAGATTTCCTCGAAGTGCTGAGAGACACTTGATGACATAGCATCTTTCTCTACACGCAGACACACACACACACACACACACACACACACACACACACACACACACACACACGTCTATTTAATGTGTTTATGCATACATTCGTATAGTCTGCCTGACGTGGTGGGCATTTTTAAAGGCTGATACAGGCCCTATTTATACTTAAACTTATTCCCACTGTGCATCATAGCATGTCGCGCCCTCACTGGGAAGTGTTTGTTAATGCTAGCAAGTTGGACAGTTTGTTCACCGTTGTCTCAAATTCCACTTAAGACTCAAGAAGGAATAAAGTGTCAAGCCAAGAGAATCTTCTCTAAATGCAGGTGTTCGCAGTTTAAAAAGAGGTATAACATTAAGTTCTAGGTTTTGATTCTCTGTTTACCTACAGCAAGGCAATAAATCGTGTTTTGGTACTCTTGACATTGTCAGCATTTTACATGCCCGAGAAAGCCGCGTATTATAACACAACGTGCTTTCTTTTTCCGTTCTGTTTTTAAGCTCTGCCTTGTTTTCCTGTCTTCCAGGAAACAAATGTGCTTGGGTTTAAAGGCCCTAGGAAAATGTCTGTGATCATCCCAGGGATGAACATGAATCATGAACGCGTCTCATTTCAGCCACAAAATGTGAGTAAAAACCAAGTTAATCTGCAGAGGACTCTTTCAGAAGATAGTAATCTAGTGTGGAGAGATGAATCCAGTTTGGAATTGATTCTCCTAGACTCCCCAGCTGGAGGCTGGCCATCCCTGTCCTCAGGAGGGCCAGTCTCAGGGCCTCAGGACAGTGCACTAGCAGGGTCCCGCTCAAGACGTTGAAACCACTTGTCAATGCAGAGACAAGTGTTGCATAATGCATAGAATTTGAAAACCTGGCTTGATTTTTTGCTTTCATTCTCTGCTTCTGTTTCGTCCCTTTTCAAATGGAGGATATTCCAATTTGGGAAGGACTCTCTCGAGCTATGTTTTCCCTCGCTCTCACATCTCCACCACAGTAATCATCAACACGAAAGACATCTGTGACCAGGTGTGGGGGGGTCTTCCCCACATACCAAGCAGTGGACGCCAGCCAGGCCTCCTCCAGATCAGTTCTGGCACCGTTGAAGAGAGCGTGAGATCCCACAGGGTGAGGGCACAGTCCCACAAGACCCTTCACACACTAGTCACGAGCCCCGGCCTCGGGAACTGCTGACTGACTGGTGTCGAGATGGGGTTCACACAACCCCTCCTTTGGGTTTGAGTTGCTGGAGGGGCTCACGGAGAGCGCAGGGAAACATATTCACGATTTATCGTAAGCCAGTAGGCAAGGCGTAGGGGTGGGGCTTGATGCTGCCACACCCTCCTCGGGTGCCATCCTCCAGGGCTCCGTTGCCCAGGTTGGAGTGCAGTGGCAGCTCCCGGCCACCGCAGCCTTGACCTGCTGGGTTCCGGCAATCCTTCTGCCTCAGCCTTCCAAGTAGCCAGAACCACAGATGCCCGCGACCACGCCCAGCTAATTTTGATTTATTGTAGAGATGAGGTCTCGCCAAGTTGCCCGGGTGGGTCTTGAACCCATGGGCTCAGGCAGTCTGCTTGCCTCGGCCTCCCAAAGTGCTGGGATTACAGGCTGAGCCACCGAGCCTGGCCTTGGGTTTTGATGGAAGCTTCCTTCCCCAGGGTATAGAGCAGGGCCTTTCCTGGAGAGGGTCTTAAGATCCACTGCCAAGTTAGGTGTGGTGGCTCACACCTGTAAATCCAGCAGTTTGGGAAGCAGAGGTGAGTGGATTGCTTGAGCCCAGGGATTCAAGACCAGCATGGGCAACACGGTGAGACCTTGTCTCTACATCAAGTACAAAAATTAGCCAGACGTGGTGTGGCACATGCCTATGGTTTTGGCTACTTGGAAGGCTGAGGTGGACGGATCACCTGAGCCCAGCAGATCAAGGCTATGGTGGCTGTGAGTGTGCCACTGCACTCTAGCCTGGGTGACAGAGTGAGACTCCGATTAAAAAAAAAAAAAAGACCCATTGTCAGAAAGGTGGGGAAGGTTCTAACTTTATAACAAAAGACTGCAACAAGGGTTATGGGCATTTAGAGTCAGGTGCAATATAGGTGGTGACACTGCAGCCCGCTAGTCCACCTTCTGCCTCACAGAGTGCGGAATGAATGAGTTCTTAGGGTTCCCTTACAAAGCAGTGGTGTTCCCTTCCGGCAGGACAACGAGAGCTTGCTTTCGAGATGGCAAAACAAAGCCATGGAAAACCTGATCGAACTGCACAACAAGGCCCCCGTCTGGAATGCTGACACTCAGTCCTACGTCCTTAACTTCCACGGCCGGGTCAGCCAGGCGTCCGTGAAGAACTTTCAGATCGTCCACGAAAGTGACCGTGAGCCTGCAGGAAGGGTGGGGTGGGCCTGGGGGCAAAGAGGCTCTTCCGAGATGGGGAAAGGCGCCTTTCCTGAACCTCACAGGAAGGGATAGTCAGGAGAGCATGGCTTGAGAAAAAAGTGATCTCTCTGGAAAGGCAAAACTCCTGTTGGAGAGGAGAACTCGGAAGCCACTGTGTGGAGGCGGGTGGGGGACAGGCTGGGGCGAATCAGAGAGCCTGGGTCATGCTGTCCTGGGAGCAGCGGCAGGCGACCCCGGCCAGACTCCTTGGTGACTCCAGCCCGTGGAGCTGTGCCCTTCCCAGCAGACTGCCCTTGACATTCCCTCCTCTCCCCCTTCTGGCTACTCGGGAATGGGCTCCTGTCCCTGCAGCAGACAGGATGGGGATGGTCGCAGGCAGCCTTGCTAATGCCTTGGTTCATCCTTTAAAAGTTTGTTTTTTAAAAAAAGTTTCTCAGCCGGGCTCGGTGGCTCAGCCTGTAATCCCGTGCCTTTGGGAGGCTGAGGTGAGTGGATTGCCTGAGCCCGCAGGTTCAAGACCTGCCTGGGCAGCGAGACCTCATCTCTACAATGAATCAAAAAGTCAGTTGGGCGTGGTAGCACATGCCTGTAATTCCAGCTACTCAAAAGGCTGAGGTGGAAGGATCGCCAGAGTCCAGCAGGTCAAGGCTGCAGTGGCTGGAAGTGGCCACTGCACTCCAGTCTGGGCAACAGAGTGAGACTCCAACTCAAAAAAAAAAAGTTTCTCACTTTTAGCCAGGTGCAGTGGCTCATGCCTGTAATTCCAGCACTTTGGGAGGCCAAGGTGAGAGGATTGCCTGAGCTTAGGGGTTCAAGACCAGCCTGGGCAACATGGCGAGACCTCGTCTCTACAATAAATCCAAAATTAGCCAGGCATGGTGGCGTGCCTGTAGTTCCAGCTCCTTGGAAGGCTGAGGTGGAAGGATCGCTGGAGCCCAGCAGGTCGAGACTACAGTGGCTGTGAGTGTGCCACTGCACTCCAGCCTGGGTGACAGTGAGACTCCTGCTCAAAAATAATAATAAAAGTTTCTCATTTTAAAGAGATCTGGTGATTAACTCGCCTATTTGCTGGATTCTTTCTGTGTCATAAATAGGTGTCCCCCAGTACAGCCACGTTATCTTCTGATGCCGTGATCTCTTCTGTTTCCAGCTGACTATATAGTCATGCAGTTTGGGCGTGTGGCAGATGACGTGTTCACACTGGACTACAACTACCCTCTGTGTGCCCTGCAGGCCTTTGCCATCGGGCTCTCTAGCTTTGACACCAAGCTAGCATGTGAATAACCAAGAAACCAAGCATGGCGCTGGGCGTCCTCACACGTGATGGCCTTGGCCTTGCCCCAGGACGTGAAGAGCAAGTCTGCCCTCTGTGGGACGGTCCCTGAATGTGCGTGTGTGTATGTGAATACACGTGTGGATACACACAGTACACACTCTCCTTGTCTGGGCTTCATAGACGTGATGAGAGATCACAGCTCATCATGAGTGAGGGATTGTTTGAAGCCCAGAGAGGTTCTGGGCACACAGGTAACTCCTGAAGGGACAGTCCAACAAATTCTGTGCCTCAAGATTTCCTGCGCTTGGAAAACCATGGTAGAACCAGGGAAAGCAGTGAAACCAGTTCCTTTCCTCCCTTTCTTCCCTCGAGCGGATCGGCTGGCACCAATCTCGGTCAGAGTGGCTGAGGCCAGACTGGTAACCAGTTACGTGAGACTCACAGAATCGTCTTCATTTCAGTTCAGGCCAGAAGCATGCACTCCAGGGGTGACCTGGGCAGCCAATTGGACGGTTGCCTTCGCTTCAACTCAGGAGTGCCTCCGCCAGCTCTGCACTGTGGAGGGACACACACCTGTGACGTCAGGTGTGGGTGCAGCTGCGGTCGAGGGGTGGCAGGAGGCTTGGCTGAGGACCGGTGGGCAGCTTGGGCCTGCAAGCCCTGGGAGGTGCCAACCGTGCTCCTGCCGCTGCTCACAGTTCCCACGACTGCCTCTGGGTTTTCAAGATGGCTAGCCCTCTCGACAAACCACGTGACCCGCTCGGCCTGCCTTGGCCAGAGTGTCAGGCGAGCTCCGCCAGCAGCGTCGTGCAGCCCCAGCCCCCGTGCCCCAAGCTGTCTGCTAGTGCGGGCTGGGGGCTGGCGCTGCCGCCCGTCGGACTCCCCTCTGTGGGCTCCTTTCCGTCCATGCTTCCTGGCACCCCGCCCCACGTCAGAGACCCACGCAGAGGGACCTGAGAGACGCAGAGACCCTTGTCTCATGGCTGGCGGCAGGACTGCCCTGCTTGGCTTTGCCACGACTGTTCCATCTCAGGCTGCTCCCATCAAGTGCCTCACTTCCACAAGTGCCCCAGCCTACCCACATCCCGCGGTGCTGACAAGCCCCCTCGTGCACAGGCTGTGACTCACCTCCGGTGGCAACGCATGGCAGTGTCTGAGGAAGGGGAGCCCGCAGCGGCCGACGGCCTGGCCCCGCTCCCACTGCTCGCTCTGGCCTGGAGGGACGTGCATGCCGATGTCACCAACTTCCGCTCGAGCAGGTGGTCGGTTTTGCCTAGGTTCTGTTTTCTTATTTGAGTCGAGTCTCACTCGGTCGCCCAGACTGGAGTGCAGCGGCCACTCCCAGCCCCTGCGGCCTCGACCCGCTGGGCTCCGGCGATCCTTCCGCCTCAGCCTTCCGAGTAGCCGGAATTACAGGCGCGCGCTACCACACCCGGCTGATTTTTGATTAATTGTAGAGATGAGGTCTCGCCAAGTTGCCCAGGCGGGTCTCGAACCCGCGGGCTCAGGCCATCCACTCACCTCGGCCTCCCAAAGCGCGGGACTACAGGCTGAGCCACTGAGCCCGGCTTCTAAATCCCATTTATACCTTTCGTATGCTACAGGAATAAAAGATAATTTATGTAACAGCGCGAGTGTTGCTGCCTTCTTTGCAAGCCCATCCCTCTGGGAGTTGCGACCGGCACGTTCTGTAATAAAGTGTGCGTTGTGGCAACCGTGAGCTGATCTGCTCTTTGAAGCCGAGAGGTGGCCACATCAACTCGTCCCAGGGCTGAGCAGGAGTCTGCACGTTGGGGACTGGAGACCCCTCATGGACGTGACACCAGGTGTCATCTAGGAAGATGATGGCGCCTGGGAGGGGCACTGGGGACCATGGAGAGCAGGATTACACCCATGGATGCCTGCACTGGGCAGCCTCCCGGCATGTTTTGCAGGCGTTACTTGCCGATGCAGCAGCAAAACGAGTGAGATATCTCCTAGTGAAGGAGACGCCGTCTCTTGCCTCTGAGTGTTCACATTTTAAAGCCACTTTATATGCTGGGCTTGGTGGCTCAAGCCTGTAATCCCAGCACTTTGGGAGGCTGGGGTGAGAGGATTGCCTGAGCCCACGGGTTCAAGTGTAGCCCGGGCAACTTGGCTAGCCCTCGTCTCTACAATACATCAAAAAAAAGTAGCTGGGTGTGGTGGCCTGTGCCTGTAGTTCCAGCTCATTGGAAGGCTGAGGTGGAAGGATCGCCGGAGCCCAGCAGGTCAGGGCTGTGGTGGCCATGAGCGTGCCCCGGCACTCCAGCCTGGGCGACAGAGTGAGACTCCGACTCAAAATAAGTGAAAAATAAGAATGTCCATTTTACCCACATCTACTGTATCGGGTAAGCTCGCCTTTGTCAACTCAGTCAGGGTGAGGTCACCCCTGAAGACACCTCGACCTCTTGCTCCCCGAGGAGAGGCTGGGGCGTTGCAGCGACCCTTTTTGCAACCTCCAGCGCCTTCTCTAGACAGAATGGCTGCGGCCCGTGGACTCACACCATGTGTCTCCAGTTTACAGCCCCGTTTTTTGGGAGGTTTTTTTGAGTTAGGGTCTCTGTCGTCCAGCTGGAGCACAGTGGTGTGGTCAGGCCATCCTCCCACCTCAGCCTCCCAAGGAGCTGGAACTACTGGCCTGTACCACCATGCCTGGCTGATTTTGTTTTTTTGGTAGATATGAGGTCTTGCTGTGTTGCCCTGTTTGGTCTCCAACTCCTGGCCCCAAGTGAGCTCCCACCTCGGTTTCCCAGAATGCTGAGATTACAGGTGTGAGCCACCACTCCGGGCCAGACTTTTATGTTTGCCTGTGTGGGTCCAGCTAGGGGCTTGGCGAGGAAGGCTGGGGTGGCCGGGAGCGTGCCCCTGCACTCCAGTCTGGACAATGGAGACGCCAGCTCAAAAAAAAATAAAAGTCTCAGGGTCAACCGGGTGCGGTGGCTCACGCCTGTAATCCCAGCACTTTAGGAAGCCAAGGCGAGAAGATTGCCTAAGCTCAGGGGTTTGAGACCAGCCTGGGCAACTCGGCTGTGTACAAAATTTAAAAATTAGCTAGGGCCAGGCTCAGTGGCTCAGCCTGTCATCCCAGCACTTTGGGAGGCCAAGGCAAGTGAATTTCCTGAGCCCGCAGGTTCGAGACCCACCCGGGAAACTTGGTGAGACCTCATCTCTGCAACAAATGAAAAATTAGCCGGGCATGATGGCACGCACCTGTAGTTCCAGCTACTTGGAAGGCTGAGGCGGAAGGATCACCGGAGCCCTGGAGGTCAAGGCTGCAGTGACCAGGAGCGTGCCACTGCACTCCAGCCTGGGCGACATAGTGAGACTCTGACTCAAAAAAAAAAAAATGAAAGTCTCTGTCTTCTCAACCAACAAACTCTCCCCTCATCCACAAAAACCTGCCAGTGCCACCAAAAATGAGATCTGCCATGTGGTGCGGTGCGAGAACAGTTTGTGGTCCTGTACCACCACCTGCTGACCAAGGTCACGCGCTACAAGTGCATGCCTATGGGCGGACAGCATGGATACCGTAATCAGGATGCAGGAGTCAGGCAGGGTTGAGAGTGACTTCAATGCCCAGACTGCATTATGATACGCTGACTGAACGCTCTCATGTTACAACATAACTATGAAAACCTGGGTTTTAGAAACTAAAGATACTCCAGCTAAAATGCCCAGGATCTGGCTGGCACATAATAAACACTCCGGCCGGGCTCGGTGGCTCAGCCTGTGATCCCGCGCTTTGGGAGGCTGAGGTGAGTGGATTTGCCTGAGGCCGCAGGTTCAAGACCTGCCTGGGCAACTTGGCAAGACCTCATCTCTACCATAAACAAATAAAAAATTAGCCGGGCCTAGTGGCATGCGCCTATAGTTCCAGCTACTTGGAAGGCTGAGGCGGAAGGATCGCCTGAGCCCAGCAGGTTGAGGCTGCGGTGGCCGGGAGCGGCCACTGCACTCCAGTCTGGGCGACAGAGTGAGACTCCGACTCAAAAAATAAATAAGTAAACAAACAAACAAACAAACAAACACTCTGTAGAGTAGTGGCAAATACCCATATTACCACTTCTGTTCCTGTTTGTTTTTTTTTTTGAATCAGAGTGTCACTCCGTCGCCCAGATTGGAGTGCAGTGGCCACTCCCAGCCACCTCAGCCTCGACCTGCTGGGCTCCGGCGATCCTTCCGCCTCAGCCTTCCAAGTCCGGCTAATTTTGATTTATTGTAGAGATGAGGTCTCACCAAGTTGCCCGGGCGGGTCTCAAACCCGCAGGCTCAGGCAATCCACTCACGTCAGCCTCCCAAAGGCGCAGGATTACAGGCTGAGCCACCAAGCCTGGCCAATGTTCTTTTCAAATGGCACAGTGGGCCCGGTGAGGGGGCTCACGCCGGTAATCCCAGCACTTTGGGAGGCTGCCAGGAGTTTGAGATCAGCCTGGGCAACATAGCAAGACCCTGTTGTCTACAAAAAATAAACATTTCGACAGAGTGAGACTCCCAACTCAAAAAAACCCACAAAAAACAAAAAATAAACATTCACTGAACATGGAGCCAGAACATTAGCTGGGAGTGGTGACACACACCTGTAGTTCTAGCTACTTGGGAGGCTGAGGAGGGAGAACCCCTGGAGCCTGGGAGTTCGAGGCTGCAGTGAGCTATGATCAACACACCACTGCACTCCCGCCTGGGTAACAGAATGAGACTTTGTCTGCAATTAATTTTTGACAAATGAGTCCTGCAAGATAGGTGTGACTCTTTCCAGAGCACAGCTGAATACTGTAATGGCTTATCCCAGGGCCCCTGGCTTCACAGGGCCAAGAGTAAACTTTCCATCTGGGGCTTTTCCCACTGGGCTACAGTGAAGCTCCACGATGCTCACGAAAACCCACCTTCTTGGCAACAGAGAGGAAAAGCAACTATGACCTTCCTTGATATTTACATAGAGAAAAAGAGAGAGATTTTTTTTTTTTGAGTTGGAGTCTCACTCTGTCAC